CCCATGGTCTCCCAGCTGGCTTCAGCCCTAAAATGGGGCTAAAACTCAAATCTCCCAGTTTCTAGCCTGATGTCTTAGCTGCTGTACCAAACTGGTTTTCATTAGTGGAACAACATACTCAAAATAAAGACTCTTAGTTTGGAGGAAAAACAATTAACACCCAGTTTTAAAATGTGCATACAGCATATCGGTTTGTGGACTTTTAATCCAACATACCATTACTTGGATTAAAAAAAAACAAAAGCAGTAAAATTTGGATTCTCAAGTTTTCTACTCAGCAGACTTCAAATTTTGGAGATCACATTTTGCTTTCGACTTCTTTCCCCCTAAACAACAACAAAAGCAAATTATGTAAATTTGGATTTAGCAGACCCTCAAGTGGTCTGTTGGGGTTTTACTGTAGCTTCTTATCATGGATCAAGCCCAAAATTGTTAGCATATGTTCATGGCAAACCATAAGGGGCAGATGAAAAAATAAAAATGATATTAAATCACATGGGCAGGTTAAAAAGATTGAAACTTAATGCTCAGAAATTGACCATTTTCACTGGATTTGTTACTTTACATAGTTATGGAAGAAGTTTGATTTCTGGGTTCATACGCTAAGCACAGAAAATCTGAGCAAGTTTAAAATGAACCACGTATATGGGGTGCCTTGAGAAAGTTGACCCAGTTAAGCCCATAATTAAAAACCCAGCCATAGAATGATTAAAAGGTTTTAGTTTTACAAGGAAGTACAGCAGTTAAATTGGATTCACCCCCCAAATGGAGTTGGCTACTTCGTGGTTCAAGGCATTGTAGAATCTTAACCATCATGTTAGCATCTTGGGTGAACTCGGTTATTATGTGAACCATCACGTGGTTTATATGGTTGGATACACCATGTTCCGTGAATATAGCAGTTGGGTTTTCATTTTAGCATATTGTGTGAATCTATCATCGGTTTGTTCATCCATTTATCCTTGAACTTCCCTCAGATTCTCCCCTAGCTTTCTCCTTGGCAGAACCTCTGAAATTCTCAACAACTCATGCTTGGAGTGAAATGTAGATGGTAACTCTATAAATAACCCTCCATTTCTGGAGTGGAGAACTGCCTGGATGGTGCCTTTGTTGTGTTACTGGTGATACCAGAGAACTTGGAACAGCACCAGTTGTGGTCTAGGATGACCTCCAGATCTTCCCACTTTCCATAATCTGTTCTGTCTTTGATTAAAAACTAATCATTTCAGTTCCATCCAAGCAAAATTGCTTCCCCAACCTTTGGCCCAGATATTGGCTGATTATTGCCACAGATAGACATTAGATTTAAAGAGTTATGCAGACTAAATTAGGAGTATGTCCCACTTATTTTTCAGTGACTATGCAAACAATCAGGCTGTTCATGGCGGCTGATACTGAATGGCTGTGAACCACAAGCAGACGGGCGAGAATATTCCTATTAAATATTATCTAGCTGAATTGTGGGGAGTATGAGGCCTCATCAGTTAAAGCAGGGGTGTCAAACTCAATTTCATTGAGGGTCACATCAGCATTGCGGTTGTCCTCGGGGGGGCGGGTAGGTGTGGCCAGGGTGGACGCGGCCCACTGGGTGGGCATGGCCAGCTCTACATCGTTCGCGTCAAGGATGCCTGTGGGGATCTGGGTAGAAGTGGGACAGATTTGAAGTCTCTGGCAGAAGGGGGTGGGACCGGGGCAAGCGCCAAGGCATGGTCCACTGGAAGAGCCTGCCGAAACCCCTCCCCTGGAGCCCATCAACCCAGATATGTGAAGTAGGTGAGGGCCATTTGCTGGCCACTTCCAGGAGATGGTCATTTCTTCATTCCTCACAAAGGGTGACACCTCCCCAGCATGCACCCAGGTGGCGGAGCCTACGCGGCAGGGGCTGGTTGCTCGCTGGTTCCAGACGGCCTTGTGGAGCTAAGACTGAATGTGTTCAGCATAGATGGCCACCACAAAATTGTACATTGGCTCCCGGCCAGCCTAGGCCAAGGCAATGGGGGCCATTCCCTCACTGTTTCCAGGATGGCTTCGCGGGCCACATAAAACCGCTTCGCGGGCCACATATAACCACTTCGCGGGCCACATCCGGCCCCCGGGCCTTGTGTTTGACATGTGTGAGTTGAAGACCCTGAGCTTGTCAGCTGGAAAGCTGACGTTCTGGATTCGAGGTCTGAGCTCTGCGCAACGGTGAGCTCCCGTTACTTGCCCCAGCTCCTGCCCACCTAGCAGTTCGCAAGCATGCCAATGCGAGTAGATTAATAGGTACCACTTCGGTGGGAAGGCAACAGCATTCCATGCGCTTTGGCATATAGCCATGTGGGCCACACGACCACGGAAATTATCTTCGGACAACGCTGGCTGGCTTGACCAAGAAACAAAGAGGAGCACCACTCCCTAGAATTGGACACAACTGGAAAGGGAAAACTTTTACCTTTAGCTGAATTGTGGGAACTCAGAATGAACTTTGAGAAGAGAAAACCGAGAGGAGATAGATCATTTTTAAATACCGTAAATGCCGGCGTATAAAGCGACTTCCGCAAGCGCTGAAATCGGCACCAAAGACAGGGGTCGTCTTATACGCCGAGTCGTCTTATACACCGGAAATACTGGTAGTTTCCGGCGTATAAGACGACGTTCTAGGAATGCGGCCCAACGATAAAGACGGGGGTCGTCTTATACGCCGGGTCGCCTTGTACGCCGGCATACACGGTACGTGAAATGTTCCCTTGGACAAAGTCCTGATCCGGTCTTGTATCATCTCTGAGTGCAGAAGGTGAAACGATGGTCCAATTATAGGAAGAAATATTGGGGTTGAATGGTAGGGAAATGATTGTTAGCAGTAAGAATCATTTAAATCTGGAAACCACAGTCAGTGGAGCTGGTGGACTCTCTTTCACTGGTGGTCCCACGGGTTCCTTCCAGCTGTAGGTTTTCTGAACGTTGAGCCTTTCTTGCAATTCCAGTGGTTTTCAAATGGATGCCACACAGCAGAAACGGTTAGTCCCTCCTGTGTTGGTTGTCTGCTGACTGAAAAGCATTTGGATTGGAAAAATTCCTGCCAAACCTCAGGGCTTTGTGCGTGAAAAGGTTCTTTCTAAAGACAGGAAAATAGAAAAGAAAAAAAGATTAGAAAGAAAAAAAAATACGTAGCAGCTATAAGTACAATTATATTTTAACCTCTTTCTCTAAATTTACCTCATGATTCTTTCCTCTGTAATCTATCCTATCTAATCATCAGAAACATAAATCACAAGTTCATTTTTTTTTCATTTTTACACAAAAAAGTCCATAAGGGGTTTCCAGTCACCGATAAAGGCAAATATCGTTTTTTCTCTAATCAAAGAAGTTTATTTATCTGTGTCAACAAGATTTACAAATTTCACCCTCCATCTTGGAGGCCAGTGTTGAGTCTTTCCATCTGTGTGCATATAATAATCTCCCTGTAGTAATTATATATTGAAATAAACTTCCATGATTTTTTTTCTGGCTCTCTGTACAGGTAGCCCTTGACTTACAACCATTTGTTTAGTGGCGGTTCAAAGCGACTTATGACCGTTTTTCACACTTACGACCATTGCCTCATCCCCATGGTCACGTGATCAGAATTCAGATGCTTGGCCACTAGTCATTATTTATGACAGTTTATGACAGGTCTGGGAGGATGTGATTGTTTGTGACTCTCTAACAAGCAGAGTCAATGGGGAAGCCAGATTGACTTAACAACCATGTTATTAATGACTGTGGCAAGAAAGGTCGTATAATGGGACAAAAGTCACTTGTCTCACTTAGCAACAGAAACATTGGGCTCAATTGTAGACAAGGACCACTTGTAGTCATCAATCCTAATAAGAAAAGTCCTGGCTTCAGCTGAATGTTAGTCTTTAAAATTCACAGTATCAATGTATGTATTTGAGTCCATTTTTTTAGCTTTTGTATATAAAAATGGTTTTAAAATATTTTCAAGCAAACTGAGAATTTTCACAGACAAACCATGGAAAGGTTTTCCATGATGCCTTCCATGGAGATTTAATCCATTTCCCTATAAGTACTTAACACAGAAAATATAGCTTATCAAACGTAGCTTAAGTTCATTTTCAACTTACAAAACCAAATGGAACCAGAATTCTGGTTGTAAGCTGGGGTGGTCGTTAAGCGAACCACCATGTGACAGAACTCAGTTTTACAACAATTTTTATGATGGTCATAAAGCAAGCAGTTGCCGTTGTTGAGCTAATCAGGTGGGTTGTGAAGTGAATCCAGCTTTTCCAATGGGCGCTTTGGGCTCCCCAAAAATGGCAAAAAATCCCTAACAAGCAGGACGCCGCCAACAGTGGTCAACCCTAGCCAGTTGCCCAGCGCCTGAATTATGATCACAGCGCTAGCGTGACAGTTTGCTTTCTTTTTCCACGAAGACTTCAGAACTGAAGAAGCTTCTTGGATGAGAAGCGAAGCATCTTCAAGGAAAAACAAAGAACGTCCAGTTCTTTTTGAAAAACCCCCTTGAGACCATCATGACCTGGATGGCTGAGAATCTCCATAGACATTTGCCCAGCAGTCTTCTGCTCCTTCAGTAGCTGCTTCAAAGACCAAACAACCGGTGCTCCCCAGGTCCCTAAGTCCACCCACGGTCAAATTAGATCTGTAATTACTTTTTTAGCCTTTCCATTTTCACTTTTTTTTTTTTTTTTTTTTGGACAGCTGATAAAATAAGAGTCTTGTCTTTCTGACTTCCAGTTAGAAGGGGAGGGGCCTTGTTACCCCAGAGTGGGGGCAGCCGACCACCCAGTTGCTGCATTGAAGAGCTGCGCGGTGCTTCTTTCTCAACGTACTTTGTATTGTTTGCACATGAAAACTTCAGATTCAGCTTACGCTACTTCCGTAGCCACTTAAGCTTCAGTGAAGTAAAGGCTCTTGGCAAAATGGCCAGGAGTCTTTCTTTGCTCGATGACCGAGTGGGACGGTTGACATCTGAACCGGTACTTCCCCATCCTTCCTCTTAGGTGCTGCTGATCATAAGTGGGAATCTAAGCTTCCTCAACTGGCTAACCATCGTGCCTAGCATAGCATGTTTTGATGATGCCTCCTTGGGGATCTGGTTTGGTTCCGGCAAAGGATCTCTGAAGGCCTACGTCTTGAAGATACAAGCTGAACAGGCAGCAGGGAAAGTCAGCCCTTTGCAATACGGTATGTGTGCATGTATATATATATATGTTTTCTGAGGTTTTCGCGGGTGTTTATATATAGGTCTTTGGTTATTCGGGTTTTCTCCCGCGTAAAATTGAAAGTGTCTTGGCGACGTTTCGACGAAGTCCCATTCGTCATCTTCAGGCTGGTGTTTTCAGCTTCGTGCTTCGTCGAAACGTCGCCAAGACACTTCCAATTTTACGCGGGAGAAAACCCGAACAACCAAAGACCTACATATATATATATATATATTATATATATATATATATATATATATATATATATATATGTAGGTCTTTATTTGTTCGGGTTTTCTCCCGCGTAAAATTGGAAGTGTCTTGGCGACGTTTCGACGAAGTCCCATTCGTCATCTTCAGGCTGGTGTTTTCAGCTTCGTGCTTTGAGCAGCAATGTGTGGTCTTAGCTGTTTTTTCCTTTTAACTGCCAGTGGGGGTATGAACTGATTGGGTGGTTCCACACATTGCTGCTCAAAGCACGAAGCTGAAAACAGCAGCCTGAAGATGACGAATGGGACTTCGTCGAAACGTCGCCAAGACACTTCCAATTTTACGCGGGAGAAAACCCGAACAACCAAAGACCTACATACAAATACCCGCGAAAACCTCAGAAAACAAATATATATATATATATATATACAAATTTCTTTTTCTTTGTCAGAAAAAGAAATTTGGATTTGTAATGTTTCGCAGTTGCGACTTGAGCCTGCTTAACGCCCCTAGTTGGGGGCTGCAAGGCAAAAGAGATTGTAAAAAGTAAAATATGGGGTCAAAGCAACACATGAGTTCTTCTCGGCATCTTTTTGTCAGGGAAATTCATACAGATAGTCCCAAGAGCTTCCTCTGCAAGTTAATCCACTCCAAACAGAGGGCAATGTGATGTTTGTGAAGTTCCACCTGTTTTAATATTTGACAGCCTTTAATTGATCAGTTAAGCAGGACTGGATAGGAGACCCTCAGCACTTCCTGTGAGGCTGAACTCAGAAAGAACCTATCCATGATAGCTGTCTCCATGAAGGCACCACCAATCAGTCTCATCTCAGAAGTGACTTTTCTTCTCAATCGATTAACCCTTTAATTTTTATTTTAAAGAGAGAGAGAGAGAGAGGGAGGGAGAGAGAGAGGTGACGTGCTGTAAGTCTCCGACCTGGAACTGACTGAAAATAGATTAAAAAACTTAAGTTCCCTGTAAAGAAGAAGGCTATATTTTTATGTAGAGGGAGAAAGAAGAGACGAGAAACAATCTTTTAGTTTATTTCTAGCCAGGTTTATTTCATTTGCATTGGCTGCACTCATATACACAGCCTCTGCTCAACCTAGTCGTGGAGTTTCTAAAGTAACCAAAGAGATGGAGTCCCCACAGTGCAGTGACACACACAGGAACTAGCCAAGGTTAATATTACTCACATTTAACATGTGTGAATGCAGATTATAAATAACCATTCACGGTGAGTTTCTGAACTGAAATACTCATTGATGTGACTCTTCATTATGCTTGTGAATATTTCAAGTCTGCTTGTTTAATGGAAGAGAGCGTGTTTCAGTAAAGCTGGGAGGGAAATGGGGTGCCTTGAGACCCAATAGCAGGGGCTACAAACAAGCAAGATGGCCAGGATCACATGATCTGAGACCATCCCCCTTTTCCAATGTGTCTCATTCATAAGGGAGCTTCCATGGCTGACGGAGGACCAGCATCTGGGTCTCTCCATGTCTAGGCCAGCATCTTCAGCAGCTAGACCAGACTGCCTCTTGATCTGTCTGGCCACATATTTTGTCTTGCATCTAGACTTGTCACACAGGAATGGCAAAGGGGAGCATGATGTTCATAAGGAAAAAAATAATATTCATAATCCTGAATCCTTATTGGAACCATATATTTATTAAGGTAATCATTAATTGAAAAATACCGAAAAGCTTTGATAGTGGACATTGCAGTACCTGGAGACAGGTGAATAAAGTTAATTAGATGAGGACACTAAGCTTTAGCTTTGGAGCACAATAATAAATATTGCTGTTTATGTGAATTTTGGACTTTTTCTCCACTAACAATCAGCTAGAACACAGACTTTTCTGTAGTTTGCCAGAAATCCCCAGTTGGCGTTGGGAAATAATTTATTGTATTAAATAAAAGTTTGTTTTTCCCAACTGAGTGATGGGTATGTACTACTGGAGTACAAGTCTCATCATCCCCAGCCAGCAACCAAAGGCTGCAAGATATTTTAAGCCATTATATCAATGCTAGAACTGGTTCAAAGATTCGCTGGCTTTGGAAGTTCATGGGTGACTATGGGTCACTTGAGCTACAGCATTGCCACATCGCATCCTCCATCCTTAACATCTGTCCAGTAAAGAACCAGCCTAAGAAAATGGCACCTTGTCTTTTTCGCAGGGAGCTACATCCGCAAAGCTGTGAATGTATCCGTAGGGGCACTGATCATCTTCCTCAGCATTCCAGTGGTTCTCAATCTGATTAGTTCCCGGCAGATCATGAATACTTCCTACAACCCCCTCAGGATCGTCAACACATACGGAGCATTTGGAAGGTAAGAGCCTCAATATCTGAAGAGCATCTGACATGACTTCTTGTTGTCTCTTTCAGCCCTGCCACTTTACTTTGTAAGAGGAAAAAGCAGCACCAGAAATCCATTTAAAAACACTCAAGAATCTTTCCAGGGCAGGAGAACGTGTCTGGTCACAAGAGCATTCCAGGAAGTGCAATAGACCCTTGTTTGGTCACAAGAGCATTCCAGGAAGTACAGTGGAAGAAGACTGTGTAGCCACAAGAGCATTCCAGAAGTGCAATGTTGTTGTTGTTAGTTGCGAAGTCATGTCCGACCCTTCGTGACCCATGGACAACGTTCCTCCAGGCCTTCCTGTCCTCTGCCATCTTCTGGAGTCCATTTAAGCTCATGCCTCCTGCTTCAGTGACTCCATGCAGCCACCTCCTTCTCTGTCGTCCCCTTCTTCTCTTGCCCTCAACCTTTCCCAGCATTAGGCTCTTCTCCAGGGAGTCCTTCCTTCTCATTAGGTGGCCAAAGTACTTGAGTTTCAACTTCAGGATCTGGCCTTCTAAAGAGCAGTCAGGGTTGATCTCCTCCAGGACTGACCAGTTTGATCGCCTTGCAATCCAGGGGACTCGCAGGAGTCTTCTCCAGCACCATAGTACTGCCTTGTCGTGGCGAAGGGGCTTATGTAACTCAATGAAGCTATGAGTTACGCCATGCAGGGCCACCCAAGACGGACAGGTCATAGCAGAGAGTTCTGACAAAACGTGATCCACTGGAAAAGGAAATGGCAACACACTCCAGTATCTTTGCCGTGAAAACCCCATGGATAGAAGTGAGGTAGAAGAACCGTTGTCTGGTCACAAGAGCATTCCAGGAAGTGCAGTGGAAGAAGACTTTGTGTAGTCACAAGAGCATTCCAGGAAGTGCAATGTGGAACAACTCCCTTTCTGTGTGGAGTTGTTTCTGCAGAGTCATCATCCGTCTTTCAAAAGATGGACGGGTGGTCCTCAGCTTTTGCTTCAAAGCAAAGCAAAGGAGAGGGTTCAAGGCCTTGTGGCACCAAGTAATGCACACAAGTGAACTTTGGTTGCAAAAAACTCATCAGTGTGCAGCAAGCTAGAGTCCAGGAACGGTAAAGAAATTGAGGCTGCCAGCAGCAGCAGAAAAGACTAAATGTACATTGTCCTGAACTGCTTTTTGTCTCTCCTTGAAGCTGAAAAGAACAAAAGAAAAATACGATATAATAATAATAATAATAATAATAATAATAATAATAATATTGCACTATTTCCTCTGTCAACAATACTGAATAACTCAGGACATGGTTATCAAACATCAAAAACATCTGCTAGACTATCCCACCTCCTTTACATGGATGATCTGAAGCTGTATGGAAAAACATCATCTGAAATAGAATCGCTGCTCAACACTGTCCGTATATATAGCCAAGATATTGTAATGGAGTTTGGCTTGGACAAATGTGCCACACTTACTATCAAACAAGGAAAAATAATGAAAACTGAAGGAATCAAGATGCCCCACGAAAATAACATTAAGAGTCTGGATGAGGAAGAGTACTACAAATACTTGGGTATCCTTCAAGCTGACAACATCAAGCACACTGAAGTCAAGAAAAAGATTAGAGGTGAATACATCAAGAGAGTGAAGAAGATCTTAAAGTCCAAACTCAATGGAGGAAATACCATAAAGGCAATCAACACCTGGGCAATCCCAGTCATTAGGTACACAGCTGGAATAGTGGACTGGACTCAAGCAGAACTAAAAGCAATGGATAGGCAGACCAGAAAAATAATGACAATGAATCATGCCCTTCATCCACGCAGTGACATTGATAGACTTTATCTACCAAGGCAAATAGGTGGGCGTGGAATGCTACAAGTACATCAGATGGTTGAAGAAGAAAAAATGGCTTTGGAAGAATATCTGAAGAACAATGATGAAGATGCACTGAAATTAGTATATCAGGAAGGCTTACTAACTACTGGAGAGACCAAACTGGCCTACAAGAAAGACCAAATGAAGAACAGAATAGAGGCATGGGAAGACAAAGCACTACATGGCCAATACATGAAAAAAATAGCTGGGAAAGCAGATAATAATAAAACCTGGCAATGGCTAAGAGCAGGAAAATTGAAGAAAGAGACCGAGGGACTAATTCTGGCTGCACAAGACCAAGCCTTAAGGACAAATGCATACAAAGTCAAAATTGAGAAGACAGCAACAGACAGTAAGTGCCGCCTCTGCAAAGAAGCTGAAGAAACAGTGGACCACTTGGTAAGCTGTTGCAAGAAGATTGCACAGACTGATTACAAGCAGCGGCATGACAAAGTAGCAACAATGGTGCATTGGAAGATCTGCAAAAAATATCATTTGCTGTAAGCAAAAACTGGTGGGATCATAAAATAGAGAAAGTCATAGAAAATGATAAAATTAAACTGCTCTGGGACTTCAGAATTCAAACAGACAAGCACCTGCAACATAACACCCCAGACTTAACAATTGTCGATAAGAAAGACAAAAAAGTCTGGATAGTGGACGTGGCAGTGCCTGGAGACAGCAGAATAGAAGAGAAAGAACTGGAGAAGATAACAAAATACAAAGACCTACAAATAGAAATAGAAAGACTGTGGCAAAAGCAAGCAAGGGTAGTACCAATAGTAATAGGCTCCTTGGGTGCAATCCAAAACAACTGGAGCACCACTTGAACACCATTGGCATTGACAAATTCGCTATTAGTCAATGGCAAAAGGCGGCCTTATTAGGAACTGCTTCCATCCTGCGACGATACCTGTAATACCATCAAACATCCACATCTGCCTATCCCAGGTCCTGGGTAAGGACTCGATAGGGAGACAAAATGCCAAATCCAGTCTGAACATCTGGCTGACTGTGCGATGATCCATAAACAATAATAATAATAATAATAATAATAATAATAATAATAATAATAATAATAATAATATAAGTTGGAAGGGACCATGGAGAGCACCACTTGAACACCATTGGCATTGACAAATTTGCCATTAGTCAATTGCAAAAGGCGGCCTTACTAGGAACTGCTTCCATCCTGCGACGATACCTGTAATACCATCAAACATACACATCTGCCTATCCCAGGTCCTGGGTAAGGACTCGATAGGTAGACAAAATGCCAAATCCAGTCTGAACATCTGGCTGACTGTGCGATGATCCATAATAAGTTGGAAGGGACCTTGGAGGTCATCAAGTCCAACCCCCTGCTCAGGTAGGAAACCCTATACCATTTTGGACAAATGGCTGTCCAGTCTCTCCTTAAAAACTTCCAGTGTTGGAGCATTCACCGCTTCTGGAGGCAGGTTGTTCCACTGATTAATTGTTCTCACTGTCAGGAAGTTTCTCCTTAGTTCTGAATTGTTGTTTTAACACATGCCACCATCGTCCATGCCCAAGTTTCTGCTCCCTCCCCCAGTCCCAGCCATGCAGAAGCTGGTTTCCTGTGCAGTTGTTGACACAGGGAGATGGCCACTGCAGCTTTTCCACACCTCTTGATTGCATAGGTAGCTCTACAGCAACAGAAGCCTGTTTGTGTGCTTGTTTCTGCTCTCTCCCCCATCACGCCAGGCAAGATTTCTGTTCCGACAGAGAATTGCAGTTCATAAGGAAACTGTGATAATGTAAAGTTCGATGCCTTTTGAACGATGAACATACTTTTTATATTATGCTCCAGATTTGCATTCTGCGTCACACGGAGCTTTCCTGGAGAGAGTGAATAAATTAGGGGATCCCTGGGGTGGAGCTTATATCTGACGCCCTTGAAGCAGATTTACACAGCAGAGGAAAAAACCTGGCCATTCCAGGGAGGTGTTCTTCAGGTGAAAGATTTGGCTCCAAGGAAGAACCTTTAATGGATTGTTGAGATCAAGACCAACGTCCAGCTCAAATGACCATCAAGCCTTCCAAATGATTTGTGACTAGGATTGCCCCAAGCCAACATTGCACTAACTGAGCTATCTGGCTGAATAGAAATTGGCTACCCATGTAATGTGCCCAAGCATCTTGAATTATATGGCTTTTAACTTGCAAGTTCTGTTTTGCTACATGCTATCAAGTGGCTAATGAGCCTGACCATTCTTACATATTTATGGTGGCTGTCACCAACGTGCCTCTTGTGGCATTTTTAAGTACCTCTGCCTCACGTTCACTATCAAATTTTAATAGAAGACCCCAAGTTCTGGTGTTATGATGGGGGGAAGAGGCTGCACTCCTTCACATCCTTCATCGAAGTTTGTAGTTTTCCTCTGACACCCTTTCCATCTTTTTCCCTCTATACACACACACACGCAAAAAGGCTTTTTGGCTCTCTGTAAAGGAAGGGTGCGAAACATTCCTTCGTCATGGACAACCCTTTATTGTCTACAGAGATACAAAGACTGAGCAGGTCAAACTATTTTCAAAGCACTAATAGGCAAGAAGAGAAACAATGGTTGGAAACTAAACAAGGAGAGAAGCAACCTAGAACTAAGGAAAAAATTCCTAACGGTGAGAACAACTAACCAGTGGAACAGCTTGCCTTCAGAAGTTGTTGGTGCTCCCTCACTGGAGGCTTTTAAGAAGAGACTGAACAACCATTTGTCTAAAATGGTACAGGGTCTCCTGCTCAAGCAAGGGGTTGGACTAGAAGACTAGAAGCAACCTAGAACTAAGGAGAAACTTCCTGACAGTCAGAACAATTAACCAGTGGAACGAGTTGCCTCCAGAAGTTTGAATGCTCCAACACTGGAAGTTTTTAAGAAGAGACTGGGCAACCACCTGTCTGAAATGGTTTAGAGTTTCCTGCCTGAGCAAGGGGCTGGACTAGAAGACCTCCAAGGTCCCTTCGAACTCTATTATTCTATTCCTTATTCTATTCTATTCTAGAGTAGAGTAGAGTAGAGTAGAGTAGAATAGAATAGAATAGAATAGAATAGAATAGAATAGAATAGAATAGAATAGAATGGAATCTTGGAATGGAATGGAATTCTGGCTCAGGAATTCTGGGAGTTGAAGTCCACGAGTCATAAAAGAGCCAAGGTTGCCTACCCCTGGCCTATACTATCTTAGATAAGTGACTGTCCAGCCTCCATCTCCGGTGATGGAGCGCCCACAACAGGCAAGCTGTTCCTCACTGTTAGGAAGTTTCTCCTTAATTCCAGGTTGCTTCTCTCTTTGGTCAGTTTCCATCCATTGTTTCTTCTCCTGCCCTCTGGTGCCTTGGAGAATAATTTGACCCTCTCTTTTTTGTGGCAGCCCCTCAGATACTGGAAGACTGCTATCATGTCACCACCTTCTTCTCTCTTGCAGCATAACCAAAGAGAGAACCGAGATTGTAATCCAAGGGACTTCCAGCTCAGACCCCAATGATCCTGCTGCAGTTTGGGAAGAGTATGAATTCAAGTGTAAACCAGGGAATCTGCGGAGGCGGCCCTGCCTGATCAGCCCCTACCATTATCGTCTGGATTGGCTCATGTGGTTTGCTGCCTTCCAGGTGAGTATCCAGCTTAGCGGGGCGATTCTAAAACAGTTGACCCAACAGAGTATCTGGCACTTCAGTTAGACCAGCCTTGTTTCCCAGGATCGTGACAAGAGTTGAGGTTCACCTAGCCAAGCTGCCCCAAAGAGAGTTGAGTTTAAGGTGCCCATCCAAACGCTGCTATCCATCACAGATCCTGAGAACTGCCAGGGTAAAACCTTATGACTGCAGAGAAAGATTGTGAAGAGTTTAGGTCCTTCGGCCACACATGTACTGGCCTGGCTAGCATAGTAGAATTATGAGCACAGTTAGAATTTTTCCTAATTTTTTTGATCATTTCTCATGTTTCTCCAACTACTGTTTGTCTGTCTGTTGTGTTTCTCTAAGTCAGGGGTAGGCAACCTTGGCTCTTTTATGACTCGTGGACTTCAACTCCCAGAATTCCCGAGCCAGCCATGCAGAGGGGAAGGGAGAGGTTTCCAAGCTGAGCCATGCTGGCTCAGGAATTCTGGGAGTTGAAGTCCACGGGTCATAAAAGAGCCAAGGTTGCCTACCCCTGATCTAAGTAGAGAAAGTAACAGTTTCTCTAACTACTAAAAATGCCTTCGCTCTGCTTCATTTCTGATATTCTAGTTTTAGCTTTTGCAAAGTTCCTCCCCGAATATTGAAACGGAGCAAGCTTTTTAAATTTCCAGCACTCTGGGTCAAGGGGCGGGTTTGCAATTATCTTCTGAGGTGACCATAGTTTTAAAAAGAATGTCCATCTGACTGTAACAAGGGAGGGGTTTTTTGCAAGTATTTCCAGGAAAACAAGTCTACAGTAAAAATGTCACTGCTACAAAGCTTTCATAGAAGCCATGACAATATCGCGTTTGCCATAATGTCATGGTGCAAGTAATGTCATAATGCCCTACAGTGGGTGGCTGTGAAAGTCACTGATCCCTGAAACATCTTTTTGAACCTCTAAACAATCCAGGGTCTGGAGCAAGGGCATTCCTAATAACCTTTGGTAGTTCCTCCAGGGAATTAAGGACTACGTTTTCTTCTGTCTGGGATGACTCCACTAAAAGCCACACAGAGTCTTCTTCACTGGAATCTGTGGTTCAAGTGCCTGAAATGGAAAAGGGAAATATATTCATAATATTTAAGCTTAAGGGTCTTTTCATTCTGCTTATTATTATTAATCTAATGGTCATCTTTCCAATGCAGGTGGGACAATTGAAGTGGGTTTATGACACGATAGAACCAATAAATAAATGGGGGGGGGGAATTAAAACATAATTTAAAACGCCAAATGGCTTCTAGGTTCCATTCGGTGGCATGGTGCCAGGTCTGTGGGGGGTAGCCGATGAATTGGTGAGCCCATCCAACTCTTGACTGGTTCCTGAAGAGCAATTAAGAAGTATGGGAGAAGCCATTTCCATCCCTCCTCTGCCTGTCTCACAACAGATTGGTGGGTTTTTTTGGAACTCTTCACTGCTTGATATGCGAGAGTCCCTTCTTCTGGCGGATTCTAGAAAAACTTCCTCTTTTGGGACAAATGCCCAGATTTCCACTGGAAGCAGAGAAAGGAGGCCTAAAGCCTGTCGTGGTTGAATGAGGACTTTTTGAATATTGGCACATCAAAAGTTGTATACACTTGTGGATCCATCTGGATCACCCACTTCCAAAAAGGATTAGGGGGAAAAAATGCCATTGCTTAATTGCTATACCAGAAGTGCTTTTAATTGTAACACGCCATTACTTAGCAAGAAAACATTTCTAATATATGATTAGCCAGATATAATAACCCCTTGCTTTTTTATCCTTTCCAACTTAGCTGAAGGTTGGGAAGAAGTGATGTGAAAGGGACTTAGGAATCTATCAGCAAATGCTCCCAAAAGTGGACAGAACTGCACTTCATGGGAAGAAGGGGGAGAAGTCAGCAAAAGAGAGGCTGTGTTTGAAAATGGAGCTGATCCTGGATGAGAACTGCAAAGAAAAGGCACCTCCATGGGAAGGGCAGTTGGGCAAGAGTACCCAGAGCAGAGCTATTTTGAAGGAATACAGAAAATAGAGTTGGAAGGGACCTTGGAGGTCTTCTAGTCCAACCCCCTGCTCAAATAAGAGACCATATACCAGACATGTCAAACACAAGGCCCGCGAAGTGGTTTCATGTGGCCCGCAAAGCCATCCTGGAAACAGTGAGGGAACGGCCCCCGTTGCCGTGGCCCTGGCCCAGGCCAGCCAGGAGCCAATGTACAATTTTGTGGTGGCCATCTATGCTGAAACACATTCAGTCTTAGCTCCACAAGGCCGTCTGGAAACAGCAAAGGACCAGCCCCTGGTGCGTTGGTCCTTCCCCCTGGGTGCATGCTGGGGAGGTGTCCCCCTTTGTGAGGAATGAAGAAATGGACCATGCCTTGGCGCTTGCCCTGGTCCCACCCCCTTCTGCCAGAGACCCCCAGATCTGTCCCACTCCTGCCCAGGCCCCCACAGGCACCCTTGACGCGAACAATGTAGAGCTGGCCATGCCCACCCAGTAGGTCATACCCACTCCATCCATGCCCACCCAGTAGGCCGCACCCACTCTGGCCACACCCACCCGCCCCCCCAAGGGCAACCGCAATGCTGATGTGGCCCTCAGTGAAATTGAGTTTGACACCCCTGCCATATACCATTTCATAAAAGTGGCTGTCCAGTATCTTCTTAAAGATCTCCAGTGATAAGAGCATCCACAACTTCCAGAAGGAAACCATTGTGATTAATTGTTCTCACTGATGAGTTAGAGGGTTCGAAATAATCTGAGCAGTTGGACTCTGAAGGACTTCCTTACTTCTTCTTTCTTTCTATAAACCACTCTTTACTTCCCTCCAGAACCCTGGAGGGGGGGGGAGCATTGGAAAAAGGGTCCTCCAAACTTTCTTGTCGGGCTTGGGCCCTCAGTCTCAACTCAGGCCACTAACGTGGGAAAGGAACCAGGATTCCACCCTGATATTAGCAACAGTTAACCAGTGGACAATTAACCAGTGGAAGGACTTGCCTTCAAAAGTTGTGGCTGCTCCATCACTGGAGGTTTTTAAGAAGAGACTGGACAGCCACTTGTCTGAAATGGTATAGGGTCTCCTGCCTGAGCAGGGGGCTGGACTAGAAGACCTCCACGGTCCCTTCCAACTCTGTTATTTTATGTTCTGTGTTGTCAGATGAGGTGCTGTTCTTTGATGTTCCCTGTCAGGAGTTGAAGGGTTTTTGGGAGTCTCTTCGGATGAGAACCGTGTTGATATCCTCTCAGTGTCCTTGTGTTCTGTTTTCTTCCAGCACTGTCTGGGAGTTTCCATTCCAGTAGTTGCTCACAAGGATTCCCCCCCCCCCAGCAGTGGCACTTCAACAAGGAATAGTACTGACCTCAGAGTGTTTATTTGAGAGAACGCGGGGAAAGTTGAATTACTCATTATGATGGATGTTTTAAGTAGCAAGAACTGGCCATAAAAGACCTTTCAAAATCCTCACCAAACTTGTGGGCAGAGAAATTGGATAGAAAAAAATGTCTTCACATTTCTCGGAGGGAAGCAAATATCTTCCAACCATTTCTCAATTTTAGCACTGAAAAGCCCCTTAATAATTTCCCCCAGGATTTCAAGAAAGCAGGGGGAAAGTAGGGTGGTTACAGATGGCTGAAGAGAGACCTGCGCCCAAGTGGAAGACCAGATATACAACCACTTTGCCATTTCGTCACTCAGGGCAAGCGACAACCGCATTCTGCCTGTGTGAGAATTTCTCAGAATTTCAATCAATCGATCAATCAATCAGAATAGAGTTGGAAGGGACCGTGGAGGGCTTGTAGGTCCACCCCCAGGTCAGTTTCTCTTCTCCTTGGAAATAAAATCTGAAAGCAAGTTCTCTTTAATCCAGTTGGGTAAGTATTTACAAGCTCTTTGCTTCTAAGAAAATCCATCGGCAGAAGACAGTGGTGAAAACAACACTTGAAACGTATTCTACATGGTGTTAGGAAAGATGTCCAGATGCCACTCAAAAGGTTGGGCTTGGGTTTGACCCACACGGTCAAACTTTCGTCTTTGTTCTAGGACAGGGGTAGGCAATCTTGGCTCTTTTATGACTCGTGGACTTCAACGTCCAGAATTCCTGAGCCAGCATGGCTCAGCTTGGAAACCTCTCCCCTTCCCCTCAGCATGGCTGGTTCAGGAATTCTGGGAATTGAAGTCCATCCATCTCCGAGTGGCCAAGGTTGAGAAATACAGGCCCAAGCCAGGGGTAGGCAACCTTGGCTCTTTTATGACTGGTGGACTTCCAACGCCCAGAATTCCTGAGCCAGCATGGCTCAGCTTGGAAACCTCTCCCTTTCCCCTCAGCGTGGATGGCTCAAGAATTCTGGGAGTTGAAGTCCACGAGTCATAAAAGAGCCAAGGTGGCCTATCCCTGTTCTAGGAGATTGGATACAGAAGTGGCTATCTTGGTTTAATTGCTCACTTGGGTTACCCTTGGCTTCACAGGAACCTGAAAAAGCTACAAGGGCTGTGGTCGACATCACTGTTGTTGCTCCAAATTATGAGTCATTGTGAGGACTTGGTCCTTGCCACACAACTATGGCAATGCTCTATTTGCCAAACCATAGCTCTGTTTTGCTTTAGTGTAGAACTGATATAAAGCCATATTGTTTCCCAATGTTGACATGTTCATCCTTCTGAAGAGTCCCAGTAGAAGCTTGTTCTAGCTGACACATGTGTTCTAAACTGTCTACAGGTAGTCCTCGACTTAACAGTTCATTTAGTGACCACTCCAAGTTACAACAGCACCGAAAAAAGCAACCAATGGCCATTTTTCACAGTTACAACCTTTGCAGTGTCCCCAGGGTCACGTGATCAAAATCCCGACACTTGGCAACTGGTTCATGTTTATGACGGTCGCAGCGTCCCGGGGTGTGTGTGTGTGTGTCACGTGATCCCCTTTTGCGACCTTCTGACTGGCAAAGTCAATGGGGAAGCCAGTTTCACTTAACAACCGTGTTACCAACTTAGCGACTGCAGCGATTTTCTTAACGACCGTGGCAAGAAAGATGGTAAAATGGGGCAAAATTCACATAATTGTCTTACTTAGCAACCGAAATTTTGGGCTTCAATGTTGTCATAAGCCGAGGACCTACCTGTAATCAGTTTAGAGCTCCCAACTCTAATAAACACATGAAATATGGGGGTTGTTTATACATATGTTGTTCATAGTATGTTTAGGTGTGTGTCATGTATGTGTTTCACTTTGAGAGCGGGCAACTAAATTTCATTTGATGTGTGCCGTTGTGCCCACAGTAAAGAAATGACAATAAAGGTTATCTCATCTCATCTCATCTTATCTTGTTTTCTGCATATATTAATATATTGCTTTATCTTGTATTATTCAGAGGCTTGCAGTTCACACATCTGGCTTAAAATCCGCTTCATTTTCATCGCTTCTCAAAATGTGTGTTTTCTCTCCCCCCCACCCCACCCCTGGCTGTCTTTCTGCGCAAGACCTACGAGCAGAACGAGTGGATCATTCACTTATCCGGGAAACTCCTGGCCAACGAGAAGGAAACATCGTCTCTTCTGGCCTTCAACCCATTTGAAGGCAGGGCACCCCCCAAGTAAGTCCAGTTCAAGGGGCGTTTTTTTATAAAAAATAAATGTTGACTAAGTTTATTAATAAAGAGTAAAAGACGGGAAGGAAGAAAAGAGGCAAGGAAAAAGCAAGCAAGCAAGAATAAAAAGAAATGGAAAGAGAAGTTTCCACTTTCCTTTGAAGCAAATATAAATAGATTTGCAAAATTCTCTCTACAAAAAAAGCTCACTCTTTTCTATTATATATATATTTTTTTCTAATCACGAAACCACAAAGCCTAAGTGCATTTTTTCCCCATTTTCTGCAAAAAGCCTACAAGGGGTTTCCAGTCAGCCGTAAATGTAGACGTTGTTTTTTCTCCCATCAAAAAAAGTCAATTCAGCTGTCTCCGCAAATTCCACCATCCTCACCAACTATTCCTCCGTTTTGGGTCTTGTCAAACCTTTGAGCGTATAGTAACATCACTGCGGTTGTCACATAGAAAAAGGAAGATCCATGACTTGTTTCTAGTTGCCTTTCCATTGATCCCAAAAGAAAAAAGCTATGGTTTCAGCTGTACTTTAACCTTTAAAATCTTCAGAATTGTTTGTATCCAAAATTTTGGGTTGGTTTTTTTTTTTTTAACATGTTCACCAAACGAAATGTCCCTTCATGTTGTTCACTTTTCCAGCAAAGAGTCAAAGTATTTCGTTTATTCTAGACCAGGGGTAGGCAACCTTGGCTCTTTTATGACTGGTGGACTTCAACTCCCAGAATTCCTGAGCCAGCGTGGGGGAACTGGCCCCTTCATGACTCATGGACTTCAACTCCCAGGATTCCTGAGCCAGCATGGTTGAGCTTGGAAACCTCTCCCTTTCCCCTCAGCATGGCTGGCTCAGGAATTCTGAGGCACACTGGCTGAGGACTTCTGGGAGTTGAAGTCCACAAGTCATAAAAGGGCCAGGTTTGAAGATCCTTGTCATAGAACATAGACTAACAGATTTGGAAGCGACCTTGGAAGTCTTCTAGTCCACCTTGTAGCATTTCAGAGAAATGGTTCACCAATCTGTTTTTGAAAGCCTCCAGTGATGGAGCACCCATAGCTTCTGGAGGTAAGCTGTTCCACTGGTCAGTTGTCCTCACTGTTAGGAAATTCCTCCTTAGTTCTAGGTTGCTTCTCTCCTTGGTCAGTTTCCATCCATTGTTTATTATCTTATCTTTTGGTGCTTTGGAAAATATTTTGACACCCCCTTGTTGTTGTAGGAGCCCCTCAAATATTGGAACTCTGCTATCACGTCTCCCCTAGCTTTTTTTTTCTCTAGACTAGACATAGCCAATTCCTGCAAATGTTCTTCGTATGTTTTAGCCTCCAGCCTCCTAAATATAAAACCCTAGTAAGACCACACCTGGAATACTGCAGACAATTTTGGCCACCATATCACAAAAAAAAAGTTGAGAGTTTGGAAAAAATTCATAGAAGAGTATCTAAGACGATCAAAGGCCTGGAGACTAAAACATACAAAGAATGGCTATGGGACTTGAAGAAGAGGGGGTCACGTTATTCACCAAAACACCAGAGAGCAGGACAAGGAACAATGGTTGGAAAGTGATCAAAGAGAGAAGTAACCTGGAATTAAGGAGAAACTTCCTGACAGTGAGAACAATTAACCAGTGGAACAGCTTGCCACCAGAAATCGTGGGCGCTCCATCACTGGAGATTATTAAGAAGAGGTTAGACAGTCACTTGTCACTTGAGCAGGGGGTTGGACTAGAAGACCTCCAAGGTCCCTTCCAGCTCTATTCTATTCTAAATACCTTTGTTTCTGTTCTCTGCACTCTTTCCAAAGTCTCAACATCTTTTTTGTATTGTGGCGACCAGAACTGGATGCAATATTCCAAGTGTGGTCATACTAAGGCTTTGTAAAGCATATCCATGGGACACGGCTGAATTGGGGTATAAACCTTGCCTTTCACCTTTTTTTTTTTCCTCTTGCCCTCACATACACACATGCACACACATCAAATGAAGTCTTCCAAAGGAGGGAACACATTTGTGGGCCTGAGTTTGTTCACCACGCTTTTCCATCTGGGCCTGGTGTTCGTAAAGCTTAGCTCACTCATGTGGGTTGTCTGATAGTTAATCTCAAGAAGAATTAAAGTGTTGGAAAACAAAGTTGACTGGGATGCTTTGGACACTTAAAAATGAAATTAGATTGTGGTGTGGGTTGCTGCTGCCGTGCAAGTGCAGTAAAACAGAAAATCAAAAGCAGATGACTGGCTCTCTTCTGTAAAATGAAAAAAGGTTAAAACATGAGGTCATGGTGGGAGTAAACTAACTGACTGTGAAACTTGACTTGGGCAAAGGGACGTTTGCAAAACATCCGGGCACAAAATATTGGGCCTGGCTCAAAGTTCATAAAGCAACTTAGACCTCATAAATCTCAAAAGACTCCTGGTTTGGGCTACAGGAGGAATTAATAATGTGATGTAGCTACATGATTGGCAGAAAGTTTTGTTCAAGGGTGAAAGGACAATTAAATTTCAATTTAAAAAAAAAAATCCAGGTTGCCACACAGCAGTGTCTGTTCCCAGGTGTGGAGGAGTTGTCTAAGGCAGCGGTCTCCAACCCTTCCAACTTTGCACACCGATGGGGAGGTGGGGGAGAGGGTGCAAGTAGCTCCATTTGTGCAAGCAGAGGGCACGTGCGCGTGCTGCTTGCATACGTGGAGCTGCATTCTTGCCTACCTGCTGCACGCACAAGTAGAACTGTGCACATGGTCCGGTTCTGAACGGGCCACAGCCCCGGGGGATTAGGGACCCCTGGTCTAAGAAAGCCGTTTCTCTGGATGTCTTCCATGTCCATTTTGTTGTGATGTGGTTAAGATGGTGAAGCTTGATGGGAGAGCTTGGACCCCAAGTCTTGTCTAATGTAAGGACCCACCCCACTTTGCATCTTAAGAAGACAGAACTCTTGGAATAGTTCTTCCAACAGGCATCCTTTATTAAGAGAAAATGGTTGCAGGCGTTCTAGACAGGACTTGGGGTCCAAGCTCTCCCATTCGCGGTTTTAAGGGGTTCCCCAGTAGCCCCACCCAATCACCCCCTTCTTCCAGCGACAGTCTCAGGCATTACACTCCCACCCCCTTTTCCTTTCTGCCAGCTGGAGGGAGACTTCAGAGAGGAGTACATGAAAGGTAATAGCCCCATTGTTATGGTTAGTCCTTTTGGTGATACACACATCCAGTTGCTTTGAAGTGTACCGAAGGAAGTGAGGGCCATAAAGCCCTTTTGTTCACCCCCTTCCCTTCATCGTATGACAGAATCCAGAGGAGGCAGAAATGGGGTTTTCTATAGTTGATAACTAGAGATGAAATATAATTGGATTCTGACAATCTCAGTAACTCTGCCTGCAAGAAAGGCCCACAGTGACTCCAGTATTTCTACTTAGAGAGAGACCAAAGGATGGAGAAAGCCTGAATGCTGCCTGAGTTCCAGAGACAGTCTGGGAAGATGGACCTAGAATAAGAGAAATCCCTGGTCCACAAGTCTTCCCGCCCCATTTTCTGCAAAGGAACTCTTCAAGGCCTGTGCATGGAAAGTGGCCCCTTGTAGCCTCCTGCTGCTCCAGGTCAACTGAAGAGCACATGGCTCTTGGTGTTCAGCTAATTAGGCAGGGTTGAAGCATCTACCACAATGGTTCTCAACCTTTTTAATGCCGCGACCCCCAACCGGTCGTAAGTCGAGGACTACTCAACCGGTCGTAAGTCGAGGACTACTCAACTGGTGCAGCACCGTTTGCAGAATGGGACTTTTGGCGGGCTCAGCAGGGCAGAGACAGCCTGGACAATTCCTATTGGCTTTTGAAAGCCAATAGAATTAGACTCTATTCAAGAGAGTCTATTCTCTTGGCTTTCAAAAGCCAATAGAATAAAAGGGAGTAGCACAGCTAAGGAAAAGGGGGAAAAAATGGCGGACTGCGTTGTGTGGCGACCCCCGTGAAATGGTCGTTCTACCCCAAATGGGGTCCCGACCCACAGGTTGAGAACCGCTGCTTCAGGCGCTTTGGAGAATAGCTTGACTCCCTCTTCTTTGTGGCAACCCCTGAGATATTGGAACACTGCTATCATGTCCCCCCTCGTCCTTCTCTTTGTTAAACTAGACATTCCCAATTCCAGCAACCGTTCCTTATATGTTTTAGTCTACAGTCCCCTAATCATCTTTGTTGCTCTTCTCTGCACTCTTTCTAGAGTCTCAGCATCTTTTTTACATTGTGGTGACCAAAACTGGATGCAGGATTCTAAGTGTGGGCTTACCAAGGCATTGTAGAGTGGCATTAACTCTTCACGTGATCTTGATTCTATCCCTGTGTTTGGAGGCATTTATCTTTTACAGATCCAAGATGTTAAATTATTTCATTCTTTAATGTTCCCCAAGGCTACCTAAAAGGGCCAAATCCTCCCTCTGTTTAAATCTCTGCTATCACAGCATCAATGACATCGTCCCGCCCTCCCACCGGTATTTGAAGACTCCAAATTATTTATTGTTTTTAAATCAGGAATTCCGGCTCCTCACTCACACACTCATATAAAACCACAAGAGAATTATACATTTGTGATTTGAATGGACAGAATGGCACAAAGTATTAGGAAACCAGCAATATTTGATGAGTGAAATGTCAAATGTCTCCAATTCACCTGGCAAAAACTCCTTTCTCTAGACCAGTGGTTCTCAACCTTTTTAATGCCGCGACCCCCAACCGGTCGTAAGTCGAGGATTACTCAACTGGTGCAGCACCGTTTGCAGAATGGGACTTTTGGCGGGCTCAGCAGGGCAGAGACAGCCTGGACAATTCCTATTGGCTTTTGAAAGCCAATAGAATTAGACTCTATTCAAGAGAGTCTATTCTATTAGCTTTCAAAAGCCAATAGAATAAAAGGGAGTAGCACAGATAAGGAAAAGGGGGGGAAAATGGCGGACTGCGTTGTTTGGCGACCCCCGTGAAATGGTCGTTCGACCCCAAATGGGGTCCCGACCCACAAGTTGAGAACCACTGATCTACCAGGAAAGGGCAAGTGACATAGTATGCATCTTGATGTTATCACGCAAAGGAGGCCTATGATGTCATTTGCGTCATTGCGACTGCGTCCAGACAACTGGTGGTAACAAGCACATGGGTAGGTTAGAGACACGCTACGCTCGGCTGGGTTGTGGTTGCTAGTTTTGATTTGACCTTGCAGAAAAGTCAGTGAATGATCCGTGCACACTTTTAAGGGACTTGGACACTGCTTCAAACCATAGTTTATGGTTTGAGCTTCCGCAGTTGTAGCTCTATATGGCGTGTAATGGGTTCGCAGATTCCTTGCAGTTAAAACTACAAGGCAAGAACCGATTAAAACGGAAGGGAAACATATAACAATGATTTTTTTTTTAATCATTTGGCTCAATCAGCAAATCAGATCCAGAGCAGATTGGGGCTTAATATGATGTGTGATTATTTTGAATGTTGAGATCGTCTTTGCTCCAAGATCTGGAATGGTCTAAAAATGAGTTCACACAATATGCTCAGAGTTACAGGAGGCCATCATTTTCTTAGCATGTGTGAAAGCCACTATGTTACATCAGGATATGGATTATTGGGCTTCAGGCAGTCCCTGAGCTTTGCCACTCTCATTTAGAGCAGAGGTCCCTAACCTTTTGGGCACCAGGGACCGGTTCCATGAAGAGAGGTTTTCCGTGGACCGGAGGGTGCGTGGTTTTGTGTGCTGCCTGCATGCCGCGGATGGGGCTTTGCTTGTTTGTGCGGACTGGTTGCTGGCATGCCACGGCCCGGTACTAGTCCACGGACCCCTTAGAGTGCCTGTTTGGCCTAGTGCAGTGGTTCTCAACCTGTGGGTCGGGACCCCATTTGGGGTCAGACGGCCATTTCACGGGGGTTGCCAAACAACGCAGTCCGCCATTTTTTCCCCCTTTTCCTTAGCTGTGCTACTCCCTTTTATTCTATTGGCTTTTGAAAGACTCTCTTGAATAGAGTCTAACTCTGTTGGCTTTCAAAAGCCAATAGGAATTGTCCAGGCTGTCTCTGCCCTGCTGAGCCCGCCAAAAGTCCCATTCTGCAAACGGTGCTGCACTACTTGAGTAGTCCTCGACTTATGACCGATTGAGTAGTCCTCGACTTACGACCGGTTGGGGGTCACGGCATTAAAAAGGTTGAGAACCACTGGCCTAGTGGTTCAGGCCTCAGGCTAGAAACACCGGGAATTCTAGTTCCATCTTAAGCACACACCCAGCTAGGTGATCTTGGGCCAGCCGCTTTCTCGGAGCCCTAGGAAGGAGATAGCGACCGAACCCTTCTGAAATCTTGCCGAGAACCTTGCAGGAACTTGTCCGGGCAGTTGCAAGAGTCAAAGACCGATTCTACTGCATGGAAAAAGAGACACTGCCTCATTTAGGGTTTAGCGTGTTGTGCGTCGCCAACTACAGATCGCCCTGTGCAGCTTGACCCTTCTTGTCAACGTCAGGAGTTTTCTAGGCACAATCCCTCTCCCACTCTTCTTTCATGGAACAAGAAAAGGAGAAGAAGAAGAAAAAAGCCCCAGCCTTTGCATAGGCAAACATTTTACCCACCCTGCTTGTCTCCCATTCCCATCATGTGTGTGTGTGTGCGTGTGTGTGTGTGTTTGTGTTTTCCCTCCAAAAACATCCCATCTGTTCCAGAGAGAGAGACAGCTGCCTCCTCCACAGCCGTTTTCACCTGTCTGGAAGGTTTAGCCTCCAGCCATAACAGCTTAGAGACGTTTGGAAGATGTCATTGTGGGCTGATGGCTGGTGGCATCTTCCACAGCGCAGCTGTCCCAGCCTGGAGGAGGAAGCACGGGAAAGTCCGGGGGGGGGGGAGGAAGACGGTTTTGGCAGGGAGAAAGTGAACCTGCTCTTCCATGACGGAAAGGATATTCAAGACGCTGCAAAAGCAGCGTCCGTGGGGAGCGATCTCTTTCCTTCTTTTCAGCCTTCCTCCATGGAGACAGGGGCTGCCCCAATTCCTGCCTTCCCTCTTCCCCACCTCGACCTTTACTCCAGGGATGTCCACAGAAGTCCCCCCCAAAAAAAGGCACAACGCAGGCAGTCCTCAACGACCATAATTGGGCCCGAAATTTCTGCTGTGAAGTCAGTTTTGCCCCATTTTACGACTTCTCTTGCCACAGTTGTTAAGTTGAATCCCTGCAGCTCTTAAGTGAGTCACCAGGTTGTTAAGTGAATCTGGCTTCCCCGTGGACTTTGCTGGTTAGGAGGTCGTAAAAGGGGAACACAGGACCCCAGGGGACACTGCAACTCTCATAAATAGGAGTCGGTAGCCAGGCGTCTGAATTTGATCACCTGTTCAGGGGATGCTGCAACGGTCGTAAATGTGAAAAATAGTCACAAGTCGCTGCTTCTAGTGCTGTTGTAGCTTTGAGCAGTGACTGAACAAACTCGTAAGTCAAGGACTACCTGTATTATCTCGAGTTGACCCCCACCATCTATGGGGCAGAATTGTTTCTCCAAGGCGTGATCCTGCAACAGAAGAGACCCAGACGCGCCGTGCCCTATTTGGGGACCAATTGCTCCAGAAAATAGAGATGAAATATATAGAATACACACCAGTTATGCAAGAAGAAATAACTTGTCTAAGGAAGTGCATATCAGATTTGTTAAGAAGTCAGTCAGAGATGAGATTTTGCATAGAACTAGAGATGACCCAGTAGAATATAAAGAAAAACAACGAATAGTTCTTCAGCAGGTCCCCGGGAGGGTAAGAGATCTTAGAAGACCTTATCAACACATCGCATCGAAACTAATAAGGGCAAAATATTAACGTTAGGTGGCTGATGCCGGAAGGGATCCTGGTGACCCGACAAGAAAGAAGTTACAGGCTGGATACGATAAATAAAGCCGAAGAGTTTTATTTATTATTTATTTATTTATTTATGAGACTTATATACCGCTTTAAGCGCAAGCACTCTCTAAGCGGTGTACACCAGGAAGCAATGTATATATATATCTATTTACATTGCCCCCAACAATCTGGGTCCTCATTTTACCTACCCCGGAAGGATGGAAGGCTGAGTCAACCTTGAGCCGGTGAGATTTGAACCGCTGACCTGCTGAACACAGTCAGCTAAAGTGGCCTGCAGTCCTGCACTCGAACTGCTGCGCCACCTCGGCTCATATCTAGGTAGTGAAGATGAATTAGAACAGTGTTTCTCAACCTTGACCATTTTAAGGCAGGTGGACTTCAACTCCCAGAATTCCACAGCCAGCAACGCTGGCTTTGGAATTCTGGGAGTTGAAGTCCACCTGACTTCAAATGGTCAAGGTTGAGAAACACTGAATTAGAAGAAAGAGAACTAAGAGAAGAAGATACCACAGAAAGACACAGCAGAAAGGCACGAGGAACGCAAGTCGCTTGGTCCTCATTGCAGTGTTTTTACTTCCTTGCAGGTGGGTCCGGGGAGAACATTTCAGATACAAGTTCAGCCGGCCAGGTGGGCAGCACGCCCAGCAGCAGAAATGGTGGATCCGTAAGAGGCTTGGACCCTACTTCCCGCCCATCAACCTTCCAGGACTGAAGAAGTTTTTCAAAGCTCGAAACTGGCCTGAGCCAAAGCAGAGTTGAGCAGACCCCCATTGGAGGTCCAGAATTACCGCCTCTTCTGTCTTTGGTCCTCCTTTGAGTTGTGCGCGTTCCCCGTTGTCAATAATTCACAGCAGGGCAACCCCCAGCCCCCTCTAAAGCCCACCAGGCCAGGGATAAAAACGTCGGGATTTCTTTTCTATATTTGGGAGTTTGAGGCTGAAGTGGATGCTCTGAACATTACTTGGAAATGAATTTGGGGGGGGGGAATGAAAATTCTTGTCAATCAATAGGTTTTAGCTTTTCTTACCCTCTTGATTAGCCTAACCGGAGGACTTTTCCAAAGATCAGCCAGGTGTAGACACACAAAATGCAATAATGGGATGTGTTAACAGGCCCTGAATGTTAGCAAAATAAAGCAGCATGGGAGGAGGTAATCTTTACGATGAGAGGGAGATCCACAAGATATTCAGAAGACAGAGGATTTTTCTTTTAAAAGGAAAACCCTTTTAATCTAACGTCTGTCTAGAGCAGTGGAACGTTTAGTTTGAGAGTTGGGCTAATCGCACAGAAATTGTTATAGTAGATGTACCGTTCAAATGAAATTCACTTCTGTCCAAATTATTTCCCTCCCACCACTTTTGGGAAGAGTGAGATCCTCCCCCACCTTGTAAAAAAATTAGGTTGCAGAAGCATAGATTCAGGGATCACAAAAGCCGTTGGTCCAACTGATTTCTGCCTAAAGTCACCTTAAATCGGCCGGTGGTCTTTTAAGCAGCAATCATACACACCCTTCCTACAAAGTCATAGATACAAAATTGAGATTAAACGCAAAAAAGGCTAAAGCCTCGTGAGATTTCATGGGGTTGCATAAAGGTCTACTGAAATGTTGCTCACCTCAGGAATTTTGGCCAAGCTAATTTGCACACAGGACAAGAGCAATTAAATACTACTGGTAGAAGGTAGCTTTAATTTCATTTTTTAGGTCCTTTGGCGCCATCTAGTGTTGATTTGCTTACTATATCAGTAGGACAGTAACTGGGAGGGTGAGCTATCTTTGCCCCCTCCGTTCCTTCTATTTTTTCCCCTCTGACACCTTTCCTGTCTTTCTCCAGCACAGCCTCTGGGGAAGCGAGGCAGCTCCCAACAAGGTCCTGAATCCATCGCTTGCAAAAGGCAGCTGAAATCCAGCTGAGAGCTGCTGGTTGACCAGTTAGTGCTTGGTTTGTGAGTAAGTTTTGCCCATAACCCACTGGGGATTCTTTAATATTTTTATTGGGTATCTGTTTATATCTGAGCACAGGACAAGACCAATTTTTGGGAAAGCTAAATCAAATCAACCTTTTTTTTTTTAAAAAAAAAAACTTCCTTCAAGAACAGGCAGCATTGAAATACACCCTTAATATTCAGAGCTCAAATTCATAGAAAATGCTTTTTAAAATCTTCTATTTTTCATTTACTGCCCACCGGTGGTCAAAATTTGAAGGGATTTGTCCAAAGGACTGTGTACATTCTGCCTGATATGTATTTTTAGATCTAACGGGCTATCTGGTTCTCCTTGCAATGGGACTAATAAAACACAAGGACCAATCCCAGTTAAAATCTTCACATCCAGAAAAAACTCTGTTTCACATGAAAAAAGTTATCATTCTTTTTCTAATATTTCCATCTGATTAATACACTGTAAACTTTATTAAACTGAGATCAGTGAGAAGCTCAGCTCTATAAGATTGTCTAGTTAAAGCCATTTGTCTTCATTGCTTCATTGAAATTGCAGGCAAGAAATTCTATCTACAGGAATGAAGAAGAATGGGTGGCAGTTAATTGGCCAGTGATTTCTAATCCCTGCAACTTCCAAGAGCATTAAAGTCACAAAGACATTATTCTCCTTCAAACTCCTGTTTGTGAGGGGTTATTTTTACGTTAAAAATGAAGAGGGGTCTTCTTCTGCTTTTCCTTCTTGTCTTTCCCCTCCTACACATAGTTGGTGCCTTAATCACTAGGCCAGACTCGGGGGTGGGGGGGTGTCTTCTAAATCTAATAAAATCAATAAGATTCTTCTAAAATGTATCTATTTCCCATACTAAGGAAATCCACTAAGCATTCTCTGTGGGCACGCGCGCCGTCGCCCTAGTCCTAGGTCTTAAGCTGGGTTGTATAAAATCTTTTCGCTTTAGGCCTCCGCTGCCGTGTGCAAAATAAAAAAAAAAAGGTTCAATCTGTCAATTTCAACTTCTCGCGGGAAAAAAAAACTTGCAAAGTTGAAATTGATTGATTGAACTTTTTAGTCCCACCCAGTCTGCCGTTACCTCCGCAGCCACGCCCACCCAATTGGCCCCACCCACCCAATGGGCCACACCCAGCCAATGGGCCACACCCACCCGGCACCCGACAATGCATAAGTGGGTTTTGGGTTGCAGTTTGGGCACTCGGTCTCTAAAAGGTTCGCCATCACTGCATTGCTGGAGACATCTCAATGGGCAAAACAAAAAAGGTGGATGGCGGAATCCTATACTAGCACTTGGAAATAACAGAATAACAGAGCTGGAAGGGACCTTGGAGATCTACTAGTCCAAATCCCTGCTCAAGCAGGAGAACATATCATTCCAGACAGGTGGCTGTCCAGTCTCTTCTTAAAAGCCTGCAGTGATGGATCAGCCACAACTTCTGAAGGCAAGTCATTCCACTGGTTAATTGTTCTCATCGTTAAGAGATTTCTCCTTAGTTCCAGGTTACTTCTCTCTTTGGTTAGTTTCCATCCATTGCTTCTTTCTTGCTTTTTGGTGCTTTGGAAAATAAGTTGACCCCCCCCCCTCTTCTTTGTGGCAGCCCCTCAAATATTGGAATACTGCTATCATGTCACCCCTAGTCTTTTCACTAGACTAGACATACTAGGCAACTATTCTTCATATGTTTTAACCTCCAGTCCCCTGATCATCTTCGTTGCTCTTCTCTGCCTTCTTTCCAGAATCTTTTTTATATCACGATGACCAAAACTGGATGCCGTATTATCCAAAGCCCCTGAGGGCAGGGCAAGAAGGGTGGAAGCTTGTTAAGGAGCTAGTATGGAGAGATTTTCCAATACTGATTGCAATTAATCAGTGCAATAGCTTGCTTCCCAGAGTTGTGGGTGCTCCATCACTGGAGGCTTTCAAAAATAATTGGGATGGTATAATGCTCCTGCCTTGGCAGGGGTTGGACTAGAAGACCTCTAACCACCTTCCAGCCCTAGAACGTATTCTATGATGCTGGGCTTGGATGGTCACATATTCCACAGCAGGGGCTGAAGTGGACTGGCTCTTTTCACAAGGCCAGTTGCCAGCCCTGGGCCCACAGGTGAGGCCCTCAGGAGATGCCTAGAACAGAGGTAGGCAACCTTGGCTCTTTTATGACTCGTGGACTTCAACTCCCAGAATTCCTGAGCCGGCATGGCTCAGCTTGGAAACCTCTCCCTTTCCCCTCAGCGTGGCTGGCTCAGGAATCCTGGGAGTTGAAGTCCACGAGTCATAAGAGAGCCAAGGTTGCCTACCCCTGGCCTAGAAGCATTCAAGTTACTTTGAAGTAAGATGGGCGGCCTATACATTTTATAAATAAATAACATAGATTCTTTGCAGAATCTATTTTTGGTTAAAGAACACCACAGTTTAAAATCCAGGGCTGTTTTATTCTTATGATGAGGTTTGGTGGGGTTTTGCTTTTCCTGCTATTTGGGACTTTGGATTCGTTGATTATTATGAACCTTGGTCTGTTGCCATGGAAACTTGGTCTATACAGAAGAAGAGCTGCATGAAAAAAAAACTACATTTTGGGGATGCTTGCTGTCAAGCAGCCTTTGGGCTGGCTATGCATCAGGATCTCCATTCCACCTTTTGCTTCTCCCTTCCTGATCTGCCCAAAGGAGCCCATCGGAGGCCCTTCTTTATCCCGGTGCCCATCCTCCGCTGCTGCCCTGAGCACAGATGCTTGTAACAACAACTCGCAGCTGCAGGGCCTGTGAAGAGAGGCACCATCTGCACTGGCTTCACCGTGGTGTTTTTTAAAGATGAGATTTCCAGCTGCTTCTCCTAGACCTGGCATGGGAGAAAGTTATTGATTGCCGAACAGATAGAGATGATTATTGCATTCTTGGTTTTCCCTGGCTTCTGTCTTGTACCTATCTCAAAGCCCCAGGATGGGGACCATCCTTTCTTGACATCCTGAGTATAAAAATAAGGCTGTAGAAAAATAAAGCACCATTATGCTCAAAGAGATTAGACGAAATATTGGGAAATCTAAAGGGTCCTTTAAAAACAATAATCTCATCCAAAATCAGCGATGGCGAACCTTTTGGAGACCGAGTGCCCAAACCGCAAGCCAAAACCCACTTCTTTATCGCAAAGTGCCAGGGCTGCATCAGCATTGTGGTGCCCTGGGGGGGGGGCAGGGAGGTGCCTCTGAGTGCCGTCTTTGGCACACAAAAAACGGGCGCAAAAATGGGCCACAGTGCTGCAAAACGCAAAAACGGCTGCTCGCGCACCGCAGTGTGCAGGTACGAGGCGCTGCGCCATGCAAAAACGGGGCAGGGCTAGTGAGAATCACGCAGGCACTAGTCCCGCCCCATTTGCAGCACGTGCGTACTCGTGACTTCGTGCACTTGTGCACGCATGTAAAATGCTTCCCCCTACCTTCCAGTCTACCAATCGACAATGGTCAGTTACCACCTCTACTCAAGTTTGCTAGTCGGCCGCTTCACCTCCTCTGTGCTGGGCGGGGCTCCTGTTCCGGGCGGTGGTGGCGGTCTGATGGACCTGCTGCTGGCAGGGGTGGCGACGCACGTGCCAACAGAGAGGGCTCTGAGTGCCGCCTGTGGCACGTGTGCCATAGGTTCGCCACCACTGTCCAAAATAATCCATCTATCAAGGACTAAACATGATAATTAGTCTAGGGACATCCAGGAGGGCAAGGGACAGCATCTTGTCAAAATTGTCAAGATGGTAGCTTTGATTGCATGGTCAACTTTGACCTTATCATAGAGGGAGAGATGGATGAGGAGAAGAAGAAGGAGGAGGAGGAAGGCAAGGAAGGAAGGAAGGAAGGAAGGAAGGAAGGAAGGAAGGAAGGAAGGAAGGAAGGAAGGAAGGAAGGAAGGAAGGAAGGAAGGAAGAAAGAAAGCAGGAGAAAGAAAGAAAGAAAGAGAAAGAAAGAAAGAAAGAAAGAAAGAAAGAAAGAAAGAAAGAAAGAAAGAAAGAAAGAAAGAAAGAAAAAGAAAGAAAGCAGGAGAAAGAAAGAGAGTCTAGACTGGAAAGCTGAGTGTTGATATGCAACTCATAAAGACACAATTCCTAGCCTTTGATTTAGGGAAGAAAGGATTCTGTAATTGACTACATGTGCAGGATAGGGAAGAAAAAGCACCTGAGAAAACCCAAAGGTTTCCTGGGCAGATCTTGGATTTCAGATCTAGTTTTATTTGGGCCATTGTTTCCTACTTCCTTGATATCTTGGGGATATAACAGCTGATTGGACTGACCAAATGCAACTTTTTGGACTGTTGTCAATTTCCAGCCAACAAGACAGAAGCGTAACCTTGGTGGAAGCCTCCGTCCCACCTCTCCCTAGTCAGGAGCTCCAGCCAGGGCGGGGGATGGGCAGGTAGATTTCAGCAATGACCACCAAGATAGCAACCAGGCAACCCATCTACTTGGTTTCTTGTTTCTTTTTCTTTTTATATGTATAATCAAAATAAATTAGCTGGATTATCCTGGATATAATTCATCTCACAACCTAAAATTAGCTGCACCCTCGAAGCTAGCCCTGTGTTTTAATAAAGGTACAAAGTCTCTTTCTTGTGCACACATACATACGCACACCGTGAAAACAAATGCCCACAAATTCCCTTATTCAGCTGCATTTGCTGAGACCTTGTCTTCCGCAGCTGTATCTTCTAGGGCTTTATTCGGCTTGAAAAAAGGAGCCCAGCACAAGCCCTTTGCTGCAGCTGCAATGGTGTCATTAGGTATTATTTGCATCTCAATGAGGCCCAGTTAATATTTAAAGGGACAGCTGCCTGTCCCTGTTTACGGGGAAGAGGCTGGGAGTTGTGTGTGTGTGTGTTTTCCTTCTCTTTTTTTTTATGCCCCCAGAGAACGTTTGCTGCTGTTTCTCAAACAGACGTACACACTTTTGCTTTTTAGTGCAACCAACTCCTGTTGCTGCCAAGAATAATTGGGGGGTGGGGAAAGAATTATGAAACTCTCCCAAAGGAAAACAACAACTATACAAGAATCATCAGTAACGTGGTTGTGTTTTCAGTCCCTTCAAAGTCAGCTTTGCAGCTGCCTGGAGGGGGTGGGCAGGGGTGGGTGAGAAGAGGAGAATGTGACAAAACAGCAATCGAACAAGGGAAGCTGAGAAAATTCCAGGAGTTTAATCCAAAGATGGCCAGAGGTTAGCGACAAGATTTTAGATTAAGATTTTTGTAAAACACCCTCCCCCCCCAATGCCATTTTGCCCCCACAAAGCATGGGTCTTGTTGAAAGAAAAATCTTCATTAGGGTCCAGTCCAAGCCGGGAATAAACAAAATGGACACTGCTTTAGAGAGAAGGTTGTAGTTTATTGAAGAGCAGAACCACAATGTGACTCTGGAGCAGCTGACCAACTGATTTGATGAGTACAAGGATTTTTATACAGTTTTACAGCAATGGCAAATCTAGACAGCCTACTAAAAAGCAGAGACATCACCCTGCCAACAAAAGTGCATATAGTGAAGGCCATGGTTTTCCCAGTTGCAATGTATGGCTGTGAAAATTGGACCATAAGAAAGGCTGAGCGTAAAAGAATTGAGGCCTTTGAACTATGGTGCTGGAGAAGACTCCTGTGAGTCCCCTGGACTGCAAGGTGATCCAACCGGTCAGTCCTAGAGGAGATCAACCCCGACTGCTCTTTAGAAGGCCAGATCCTGAAGTGAAAACTCAAGTACTTTGGCCACCTAATGAGAAGGAAGGACCCACTGGAGAAGAGCCTGATGCTGGGAAAGATGGAGGGCAACAGAAGAAGGGGACGATACAGAATGGATGGAGTCACTGAAGCAGCAGGCGTGAGCTTAAATGGACTCCAGAAGATGGTAGAGGAGGAAGGCCTGGAGGAACATTGTCCATGGGGTTGCGATGGGTCAGACACAATTTCGCAACTAACAACAACAGCAGCAGCAGCAGCATTTCGTAAATTGGAGGCTTGCTTTGTGAACTTTTGTTATTAGATTTGTTTAGCTTTGTTTCACAAGCTAATCAACAGGCCTGATTCAAAGTTTCTACTTTTCACAATAGCCAGGGATTTCATGAGTGAAACATTGCGTCTGTATTTCTTTTCCTGAGTTTTATTCTTGTGATTTCAGGGGCATAGTAAAAAGAATTGGGGGAGGGGGGTGCGTTCTTACCACAGTCTAATTCGAAATCTAGGTTCCAGGTCAAGATGTCAGGAAGACAACTTGTTATCACTTTCTCAGCTCAAAGTTCTCATAACACCTTCACATCAGTGGATTGGCTCCTGATGGACTTGGGCTTTGGGGTTGGGTTTGCGCATTTAGGCAGGAAAAAATTAAAACAGTAACTGTGAGAGGGACCTTGGAGTCCTAGTGGACGATCACTTGACTATGAGCCAGCAGTGTGCAGCAGCAGCCAAAAAGGCTAATACAATCCTGGTTTGTATAAACGGAGGCATAGAATCAAGATCACGTGAGGTATTAGTACCACTTTATAAAACCCTAGTGAGATGACACCTGGCATACTGCAGCCAATTTTGGTCACCCTATCACAAAAAAGATGTTGAGAGTTTGGAAAAAGTTCAGAGAAGAGCAACTAAGATGAGCCTGGAGACTAAAACATACAAAGAACGGCTGCAGAACTTGGCTTGGCTAATCTAAAGAAAAGAAACAGAGATATGAGAACAGTCTTCCAGTATTTGAGTGGCTGCCACAAAGAAGAGGAGGGGGTCAACGTATTCTCCAAAACACCAGAGGGCAGGACAAGAAACAATGGTTGGAAACTGATCAAAGGGAGAAGCAACCTGGAATTAAGGAGAAACTTCCTGACAGTGAGGACAATTAACCAGTGGAACAACTTGCCTCCAGAAATCGTGGGTTTTTAAGAAGAGGCTAGACAGTCAATTATCTGAAATGGTATAGGTTCTCTAATCCAGCAGGGGGCTGGACTAGAAGACCTCCAAGGTCCCTTCCAGCTCTATTCTATTCATTGGGGATTTCCGCTTAATGCTTTGCGCACGAACTTCAGATTCTGCCTGACTTCTCTGCAATCACTTACTCTCAGTGAAAGTTCCTTTTGAAATAATACTTGTTTCAAGAGTCATGCTTTCCTGAAAATACGGCTGAGGCAGGACCGCACAATAACATTTAAACTTATATACCGCTTCCTAGTGCTTTACAGCCCTCGTCGTGCGGTTGACAGAGTCAGCTTATTGTCCCCAACAATCGGGGTTCTCATTTAACTGACCTCGGAAGGACGGAAGGCTGAATCACCCTCAAGAGGTCAGGATCGATCTACTGGCAGCTGGCAGAATCAGTCTGCAGAACTGCAATCTAGCCATTGTGCCAAATATAAGAAGATGAGCTATCAGTTTCGCTGAAATGGGAAAGATAAGCCAAATCCAGTGACCTGTAAGGTTCCCCCTCAAAAAAAGACTAGTAAAGATGGATGTTCTTCTCCTTTTAAAAATCTCTCCACGCCCAGTAAACACCATCTGCCAAATGCAACCTCAAGGCTCTGGAATGTACACTATTTTGGAGGTTGTTTGCTGGGCAGACATGGCCGGAAGCAAAAAGTGGAACAAAATCCCTTTCCAAGGAAAAAAAAAAAAAAATCAAGAGGTCCGATACCCTTCCGAAAGAACAGAGGGGACGGACCCCCGCTGTACTCCAGGAGCCTCGTCCCACAGTCCTGCACACACCCTTGAGGGTTAACGCACAACGGGAGGAAGGAACAGCCCCAACCGCGCTCTCTGAATCTTGGAACACTTTGCCACGAGGACAGCTGCGTCGTCACCTGTTGCCTTCCGAGGGCTGCAGCTGTGCCCGGCACTTTGAATCCAGCCGAGTTAGAAAAACAAAGTTGTGCACGCTTGTGCTTAGAATGTTGATCCCTCTCCCCCCCTCCTCAAATGGCCACCAGCTCTCAGCATGTGCCAACACTGGATGTGTTGTGAAGGCAGCCCGGGGAGGCCGGCGTGTGCGTCCATCTCACAAAGGGCCATGTGTGTCCCGGGAATCTACGGAGCCCTGATGCCCGTTGAGACCCAAGCAGCTTCACCCTTCAGCCAACAGACTGGACTGGCTCAGGCAGATTATAGCTCGTTTAGTGACCATTCAAAGTTACAACGGCACTATAAAAAAGCAACTTATGACCGTTGGTCATAGTTCAGACCTTTGCAGCAGCCCCACGATCATGTGATCAAAACTCAGGCGCTTGGCCTCCGGCTCACATTTATGACCGTGGCTATGTCCCAAGGTCACGTGATCGACTTTTGCAACCTTCTCACAAGCACAGTCAATGGGGAAGCCAGATTCACTTAACAACTGGGTTCCTGACTTATCAACTGCAGTGATCCACTTAACGACTGTGGCAAGACACGTTGTAAAAGGGGGCAAAACTCACTTAACAGAAATTTTGAGCTCAGTTGTGGCTGTAAGTCGAGGACGGCCTGTATAAGCCTGTTGCTTTATCATGGGCGCTCCATCACTGGAGGTTTTTAAGAAGAGACTGGACAGTCACTTGTCTGAGATGGTCTAGGGCAGTGGTTCTCAACCTTTTTAATGCCGCGACCCCAAACCGGTCGTAAGTCGAGGACTATCAACTGGTGCAGCACCGTTTGCAGAATGGGACTTTTGGCGGGCTCAGCAGGGCAGAGACAGCCTGGACAATTCCTATTGGCTTTGGAAAGCCAATAGAATAAAAGGGAGTAGCACAGCTAAGGAAAAGGGGGAAAAAATGGCGGACTGCATTGTTTGACGACCCCCGTGAAATGGTCGTTCGACCCCAAATGGGGTCCCGACCCACAAGTGGAGAACCACTGGTCTAGGGTAGTGATGGCGAATCTTTTAGAGACCGAGTGCCCAAACTGCAACCCAAAACCCACTTATGTATTGTTGGGTGCTGGGTGGGCGTGGCCCATTGGGTGGGTGTGGCCCATTGAGTGGGTGTGGACAATTGGTGGGCATGGCCCATTGGGTGGGCATGGCTGCGGTGGTAACAGCAGACTGAGTGGAACTAAAAAGTTCAATCAATCAATTCCAACTTTGTGAGGTCTGTTTTTTTCCCCCGCAAGAAGTTGAAATTGACTGATTGAACCTTTTTTTTTTTTTTTTTTGCACACAGAGGCGGAGGCCTAAAGTGAAAAGGTTTTATAAAACCCAGCTGAAGGCCTAGGACTGGGGCGACGGCCCACGTGCCCACAGAGAGGGCTCTGAGTGCCGCCTCTGGCACCCGTGCCATAGGTTCGCCACCACAGGTATAGGTTCTGCTTGAGCGGAGGGCTGGACTAGAAGACCTCCAAGGTCCCTTCTAGCTCTGCTCTATTCTATTCTATTCTATTCTATTCTATTCTATTCTATTCTTTGTTACTCTACTCTAATTCTATTCTATTCTATTCTATGTTACTCTAATTCTATTCTATTCTATTCTATTCTATATTTTGGGTCTCAGAGGGACCTTGCTATAAACAGCTGTCTCCATGCACCTGTTCTGCCATGGATGCTCAGAGTTGTAATAAATCCAGTATTCCCACGGTCCCCTGCTTCCCCTGGCCCAGATCATAGGTACAATTTGTAGTGCAGTTCCTTGATCCTGAGAGCCAGTCCTTCTGTTGCCTTTTTTTTTTTAAATAGAAACTGTTGAAAATTTTCTTCGTCCCATTTAAAATATTCATCACTCTGACAAAAGCAGAGGGCAAGCAGTGGACTCCTAAGGACAGCAGACCGGTTCTGACCGTGGAGAGCTGGTTTCAGAAGTCCTTTTGCCACGAGATGTCTTGTTGACCGACCTCATGGCTTGTGGTAGGCAGAGAAAAACCTTTTTTCTTTTTCTGATCATTAAAAGATGGTTAGAGACGCATATGGCAAATAAATCTAGAATTTGGCAATTTGCAATAGCAAATATCTGAGAACCCCAAGATGCGTTGAAGGGCCTTTGCTGGCTAACACTGTGTTGGCTTGGGATGGAGATGAAGAGTTTTCAGCTTCAAAAAGCCAAAAGGTTTCTAATTTGTTCCCCATTAGCGCAGTCGGACAAATATCCTTTTAGCCCAGTGTCTGGTTCCCAAGAAGTGCCCCTGGGGAGGATATTTCCGTGAGATTACATCACTAGAAGTGCTGATTTTACTGTCTAGGAATCTAGAATAAAAAACCTTCCCCACCCCCTTTACTGACTGATGCAACACGTTCTTTTAAATGCAGCTGGAAGAAGCAAAAGTAGAAGTTGAGGTGGCTTGAACAAGCCTGTAGTTCAGAACTTTTGAACTCCTCAGCCGTAACTCAGTTACTGACGAACTGCTGTTACATCAATGAATATTTAGAGAGGACACAACCATTAGTGCATGAAGACAGGAGGTCTCTGCCTCCAAGATTACAGTCTATGTCAGGGGTAGGTAACCTCGGCTCTTTTATGACTCGTGGACTTCAACTCCCAGAATTCCTGAGCCAGCTAAGTCCACGAGTCATAAAAGAGCCAAGGTTGCCTACCCCTGGTCTAAGAGAAATCTCTTGCTACAGGTTATCTGATGTCAATTGGACTTCAATTATACACTTGCTTCAGTTATGATATGTATCGTCTTAATGTCTGATCCTTCTTCTCAGGGAGAAAGCCCCCAGAAACCCCTTACCCTCAACTTAACTTTCACCTCAACACAGCAAGGTGGGTTAGGATAAGAGAAAGTGGTTAGTCTAAATCAGTGATGGTAAATCTGTTGAGTTTGGTGTGCCAAAAACATGCAACATGCCTAAGTTGACTCTGCTGATGTGTCGCAGGCACCCCAAAACAAAAAAGAACCATTTCTCTATTCCCCACTTCTAGGCCAGCCTCAATAGAAGCACTTGGCATCAGATGTTGGTGAACAGTGACGTGTCATCTCAAATGTTGTGGTGCCTCACCTTTGACAATCATGTTAGAGGTGCACCATCGCTGGCCTAAATCTTTGAACCTGGCCAAACAGATCCCACCAGGTCCACACACACACACACCCCGGTGAAGCTATGTCAGTTCTGTCGTATCCTTGACAAGGCGGGGGGTGGTGGTGGTGGTGGTGTTGCCTGGTGAAGTTCAAGGCTGACCTTCTTAGCCAGCTGGAAGGACTTTTCTGAGTTGCTTTCAAAGATTGTCCTGGTGGACAATCATTTAAATATGAGCCAACACGGTGCAGCAGCAGCAGCAGCAAAAAAAAGCCAACGTAGTCCTAGGTTATTTTCTCTTCTTCCAATTATATTCTCTTTTGCCAACCTTAAATTAATACCTTTCTTATTATTTGAATAAATAATAATTAAACAGAGACATTTTTCTCATGTTTCTGCAAATAATAACCACATCAATATAAAGTCCTAGTGGACAATCACTTAAATAGGAGCCAGCCATGTGCTGCAGCTGCCAAAAAAGCCAACACAGTGCTGGGCTGCATTAACAGAGAGATAGAATCAAGATCACGTGAAGTATTAATACCACTTTACAATGCCTTGGTAAGGCCACACTTGGAATACTGCATCCAGTTTTGGTCACCACGATGTAAAAAAGATGCTGAGACTCTAGAAAGGGTGCAGAGAAGAGCCACAAAGATGATTAGGGGACTGGAGGCTAAAGCATATAAGGAATGGCTGCTGGAACTGGGTATGTCTAGTTTAATGAAAAGAAGGACTAGGTGTAACATGAGAGCAGTGTTCCAGTATTTGAAGGGCTGCCACAAAGAAGACGGAGTCAAGCTATTCTCCAAGGCACCTGAAGGCAGGACAAGAAGCAACGGATGGAAACTGATCAAGGAGAGAAGCAACCTAGAATTAAGAAGAAATTGCCTGGCAGCTAGAACAGCTTGCCTCCAGAGCTTGTGGGTGCTCGATCACTGGTGATTTCAAGAAGAGGCTAGACAACCATATGTCTGAAATGGTATAGGGCTTCCTGCCTGAGCAGGGGGGGGGGACTAGAAGACCTTCAAGGTCCCTTCCAACTCTGTTATTTGTTAATAATTGCTGATGTGGGAATTTCAGAAGTACAAAAAGAGGCAAACAGAAAAAGGAAATTCAACATCTATGTGTATGAGTGTTTCTTCTGTGTGCATGCCTTCTGGAAAATTAAATAGAATTTTAATTCTCAGGGAGAGTTCACCTCTGAGCAAACACAGGAGAACACAGCTTCTGATTGGGCTGGGGGAAAGACTATTGATCTAAATATAGACTATATAAGGTATGGTGCTGGAGAAGACTCCTGCCAGTCTCCTGGACTGCAAGGCGATCCAACCGGTCAGTCCTAGAGGAGATCAACCCCGACTGCTCTTTAGAAGGCCAGATCCTGAAGTTGAAACTCAAATACTTTGGCCACCTAATGAGAAGGAAGGACTCACTGGAGAAGGGCCTAATGCTGGGAAAGATTGAGGGCAATAGAAGAAGGGGACGACAGAGAATGAGATGGCTGGATGGAGTCACTGAAGCAGTAGGTGGGAGCTTAAATGGACTCCAGAAGATGGCAGAGGACAGGAAGGCCTGGAGGAACGTTGTCCATGGGGTCGCAATGGGTCGGACACGACTTTGCAACTAACAACAACAAAGGTATATAAGATATAAGGTCTCCTGCCTTGAGCAGGAGTTGGAGGAGAAGACATCTGAGGTCCCAACCCTATGATTCTACGTTCATATACATCCATAATAATAATAATAATAATAATAATAATAACAACAACAACTTAAAGTGCTTTTTTTGAAGGGGAAATTGTGGGGACACATTTCTTTAGTTGTCACAGAAGTTGTAGTAGGAGGTTGCAGTCTTTTAACACAAAGGGACTTCCCTGGTTAGAATTGGACGCTCACCTCCCGGAAGTGGCTGGCAGGAGAAGTTTTCTCTGTCCACCCAAGACCTGAGCTCATGGTCAGCTGTGAGTGAAGGCGGGCGATCTGTCTCCATCCCTCAATATATGATTTTCCCTTGATTCGGCTTCAAGCCGCTGGTCTTGGAGAAGTCCCTAAAGCCAGACCTCTTTCCTAGCAAGTCAGGTTTAATTAATTTCCTAACTTATAATCTAGCCAAATCTCCTCAAGGAAGAACCAACTTTTAACCCCAAAGGGACAGTTAGTGAATAACTGACTACGGATTTGAGAGAAGCAGGCTGATCCAGTCGAGTTGACTTCCAAAGTGGTTCTCCCAGGGAAAACATTGCAGGAGTGAACAAAATGGATTGAATTCACCCCAAAAACAGAGGCTCACAAACACACATACTCTCTCTCTCTTTCTCCCTCCCTCCCTCCCTCCCTCCCTCCCTCTCTCTCTCTCTCTCTCTCTCTCACACACACACACACACACACACACACACACGCACACACTAACCCAGCAGCAATCCTCTCTTAGCTTAGAGCTGGCACAGCATCTTCCACCATATTGCAAAGAAAGCAGGACTTGAGAGATCACGAGATAGACGATCGTCCGAGATGGCTGGGAATCGCAAAAAGATGAATTAGTTTTTAATCTTTAACCAGAATACAGCGGGAAGGGACCTGGGCGGTCTTCTAGTCCAATGCCCACAGAGGGGTCAGCCAGCACACCGAGAGAAAATGAAAGCCACTAAAAAATAGGACAGGAAAAATAGAAAGTGAGGGGAAAAAAAATAGAAGCCAGCTTTCTTGGTCCCTGGAGAAAAGACCCGTCAATCGTAGCCCGGAGAGTTTGGCATCCAAACAGCTGATGGGCAGCTCTCTCTCTCCTGTTCCGTCTTTTCAGCCCTGCAACTTCCATTTGGAGCAGCCATTGCCCTGTGGCCCGACTTAACTGCCAGGCCAATAAAATTATTTTCAACAGTTGTCCATGAGTTCATCTTCTGGAAACCCTTAAGCACAGCTGTTGCTTCCCTCCCACCCACCCACCCCCCTTTTAAATTCTACTTTTCATCTGACAAGCTGCATTCAACTCAGACAGAGATTAAGGCAGGGGTAGGCAACCTTGGCTCTTTTATGACTCGTGGACTTCAACTCCCAGAATTCCTGAGCCAGCTATGCTATGATGGCTCAGGAATTCTGGGAGTTGAAGTCCACGAGTCATAAAAGAGCCAAGGTTGCCTACTCCTGGATTAAGGCAACCAAGGAAGCAGCTTCTCAAATGTTAGGTGTGAGTTGGGCCCTGCAAGCTGCCAGGAGCTTGGCGACCACGTGGGGATCTTCCCCGTGGAAGTGGCAAGGGTTGCCCTTCGGGACATTTGACAGCGTGGCCCTTGAGATTGGAAAGAAGCCGTGGGGCAGAAGAGCTTTCTTCTGCCCCACAGCTTCTTTCCAACCTCAAGAGCTTTCTTCTGCCTCAGCTCAAGGGGGGTGGCAAATGGGTGGGTGGGAGTATAATTCTCTTCATGGGAGACCTGGAAGCGGCTGGGGCAGGAATTAACAGAATAAAAGAGTTGGAAGGAACCTTGTGGGTCTTCTAGTCCAACCTCCTGCACAAGCAGGAGACCCTCTACCATTCAGACAAATGGCTGTCCAGTCTCTTCTTAAACGCCTCCAGGGATGGAGCACCCACAGCTTCTAGTGGCAAGCCGTTCCACTGGTTAATTGTTTTCACTATTAGGAAATTTCTCCTTAGTTCTAAGTTGCTTCTCTGCTTGATTAGTTTCCATCCGTTGTTTCTTCTCCTACCTTCGGGTGTTTGCAGAATAGATTGACCCCGCCCCCTCTTTTATTTTATTAATTAAATTTATATACCAACCATCTTGCTGTTTCTGCAGACTCTTTTCTGCATAACTTGGGGAAAGCTGCAGACAGAAATGGAAAATGATTACTTGTTTTTATAGATCGTTTAAAAAATCAGAGCTCAGAGACCCCCGTCTTATAGCATCCTTCCCAGCCCCTTTATGGGAAGAGCCAGGTGCATTCACAGACACAGGGCAGCTGTGTGTGTGTGTGTGTGTGTGTGTCTGTCTGTCTGTGTCTGTGTGTCTGTGTGTGTCTGTGTCTGTTCTGCTTTGGGTCACGTGGCCAAGAGGCGGGGCTTAGCCTGGAGGAATCCGTAGCATTCTGGGTCCCCGCCCAACTGTAAGAGCCGAGGTGGCGCAGCAGTTAGAGTGCAGTACTGCAGGCCACTTTAGCTGACTGTGTTCAGCAGGTCAGCGGTTCAAATCTCACCGGCTCAAGGTTGACTCAGCCTTCCATCCTTCCGGGGTAGGTAAAATGAGGACCCAGATTGTTGGGGGCAATGTAAATATATATATACATTGCTTACTGGTGTACACCGCTTAGAGAGTGCTCGCATTTAAAGCGGTATATAAGTCTCATAAATAAAATAAATAAATAAACTGCCCCCTCCCCATCAAGGTGCATTTGAGGGAGATTTTGCAGCTTTTTTTTTCTCTACAGTCCGCAGGTGGCTCCATCCCGTTTTAGACCTCCGTCTTTCTTTTTTGCTTTTTGCTTCTCTCAGCCCGTCAAATTTGGGTCTGTTCCGTTTTGCTTTTCTAGAGTTATCCTGATGGCAAACAGAGAAAATTTGAAGCCGCTTACATAATATTTTTTTCCCGATCCTCAAAGGTGAAGCAGAGGCCTACGAGCACGTTTCACAGGTAGTCCTCAACTTACGACAGTTGATTCGGTGACCGTTCAAAGTTACAACGTTTATGTTGTAGAACTGACATGTTGATGCTTCTGGGGACTCCAGGTAGAGTAGCTTTCTCTCGCTGACACCTGTGTTCTAACCTGCCTACAGGCAGTGCACTGAAAAAAGGGACTTAGGGCTGTTTTTAACACTTACGACCGTTGCAGCATCCCCAGGGTCACGGGAGCAAAATTCGGACCCCTGGCAACTGACTCGTATTTCTTACGGTTTGCAGCGTCCCCCTGGGGTCACGTGATCGCCTTTTCCGACGTTCTGACAGGCCAAGTCAATGGGGAGGCCAGGTTCACTTAAGAACTGCAGCGACTTGCTTCACAAATGCGGCAAGCCAGGTCATAAAATGGGGCAAAACTCACTTAACAAGTGTCTCACTTAGCAACAGATATTTTGAGCTCAATTGTGGTCGTAAGCCGAGGATTTGGCTGGCTCAGGAATTCTGGGAGTCGAAGTCCACAAGTCCTAAAACAGTGGTTCTCAACCTGTGGGTCGGGACCCCATTTGGGGTCGAACGACCATTTCACGGGGGTCGCCAAACAACGCAGTCCACCATTTTTTTCCCCTTTTCCTTAGCTGTGCTACTCCCTTTTCTTCTATTGGCTTTCAAAAGCCAATAGGAATTGTCCAGGCTGTCTCTGCCCTGCTGAGCCCGCCAA